ATAAAGGTGGTTTTTTTTAAAACATTTTATTAGGGGCTCATACAACTGTTATCGCAATCCATACACACATCAATTGTGTAAAGAGCGCATTTGTACATCGTTTCTCAAAACATTTTCTCTCCACTTAAACCCCCGACATTAGGTCCTCATTTTTGTAAACTCTTATTTCTTATCTGTACCTGTGCACATGTTCCAGTCTAGCCTGCAGTGAAAGGCAGGACTGGGGTCATGAGGGGGGTTGGGGGGGAGGCGGTGAGGAAGCCTCAAGGAACCAGAGGAATATTGTGTGTTTCATCAGTGCTTTGCTGCACCCTGGTTGACTCATCCTTTCCTCTTTCCTTGTGACCCTTCTGTGAGGGGATGTCCCACTGTCTACCGGTAGGTTTTGGGTCTCTGCTCCGACCTCCCTCGTTCTCAACAATATTTGTTTGCTTGTTGGTTGGTTTTGGGTCTTGTGGTGCCTGTTACTCAGTCCCAATGACACCTCATGATCCCACCAGCTGCTGTGTTTCTTCCATGTGGGCTTTGTGGCTTCTCAGCTAGATGGCCGCTTGCTTAACTTCAAGCCTTTAAGACCTCAGATGCTATATCTTTTAATAGCTGGGTACCATCAGCTTTCTTCACCACATTTGCTTTTGCACTCATTTCGTCTTCAGCGATTGTGCCAGGAGGGTGAGCATCACAGAATGCCACTTTGTTAGAACAAAGTGCTCTTGCATTGAAGGAGCGTATGAGCAGAGGCCCGAAGTCCATCCAGTACCTCAGTGTATTGCCATATAAGAAATGTGTGTGGTACTGTTTTTTAAAGCCCTTATTATCTATTTTTTTTATAGCTACAAATTTGTTCCCCTGCATCTGGAAGAACTTGGATACACTCCCCCCCCCCAGGCTTCATAAAATATGTGGGAAAGCCCATTATCTTTCAATGATACTTCTCTGGGAATTTTTGGAAGCCCCCTAATATCCTAGTGAATTGAATTCCGTAGAAAATAATTTGTGGCACTGTATCCTCAGTTCTTCTAAGGGAGATACAGCATTTGTGGCATTCTAGATAACTCATGGAAAACAAATTACTTCATGGTTTACAATGAGTGCTTCAGCCATTAGATCTTTTTCTCGTCCAATTGAGAAGAGATGATATGTGGAACTAATATGAACTCTGGTGTTGGCTTGAAATTACTCCAGGAATCAGAAGTGGCATGTGACAGGTTAAAAAATAAAAAGACTGGTAGAATGGTGATCATCTTTGTAGCTGGTTGATAGAAACATGGGAGCTCAGTGTGTTATTCCCTGTACTTTTTTTATAGTTAAAAATGTCTATAACGCAAACCTAGCTCATTTTTAAAGATTCGGTGGAGATGAAACCGTTTCTCTTTCTGAGGAGGAAGGGGGAGGTGTTTTTGGTTTTTCTTTTCCTATCTAGTTCTGCGCTGAGAGCCCGTCACATGTGAAGGAGGGGTGCAGTGCTTATTTCGCCCTCCTTCAAGGACCATTTTGTTGCTGTCTCCATACCTTACCCGTGGCTAGTGGAACAGATGGCTCTCCTGTGTGGTAAGGCTGAGGGAGGTGCCTGCTGGCCCTGGGGCTTCTGTGGAAGGGGAGCTGAGAGAATAGGAAGGCCTTTTCTGGTCCCAGGGACCTGTCAACAAGGAAGGCAGATATTTCTACACTAGGCCTAGCAAGTGGCCTGCAATTTCCTTTTGCCTTACTCGGTTAAGCCTAGTTGCAGGGTGGTTGGTTCTGGTCTGCGACTGTGGCGGTCTGGCCGGGGTGGGGACTCACTGGTCACCACCTACCCTACGTTCTGCGCTCCTGGTTTTGGGAAACATGCAGTGCGTGTCCTCAGGACTTTCAGAGGACTCACAATGGTCTCCCTCCGTGTTTGCCCAGCTGGGAAGAGATTTAAAGTCAGTAAGAACCCCTTTTGCAGCCTGGGTCTGGCACAGTTTGGGCTGGAAGGACGAAAGCTTTCTTGATCTTGTCCCTCTCCCCCATTTGTCCTGTAGTTCAGTTCGTGTGTCATCAGGTCGACCTTTACAGATGTGACTCCCCACATTGTAAATCTCTCATGGCTTCCTTTTACTCTCTTCTCCCTTAACCCAGTCTGTGCCATGGGGTCAGCTGCAACTCCATGAGCCTGCCAGACGAGTAGGACATTACCGAGGCTTTATCTCATTGGATTCTTTCAATAACTCCGTAAAATAGAATCTCTTACGATTCCCATTTTACAAATAAAGAAGCTGGATCTTAGGAGGCTCAGCAACTGGTCCAAGGTCATATGAACTGACGAAAGGACTCCTTCTCAGATCCGTCTGATTTCAGAACTCTTTGTACACCCCAACAGCAGACTGTAGCAGAGCTCCTGCTACAGGACTGCTTGTGCTGTCAGGTCAGCCTGGGAGGGCGCATCAGAAGGCCGCTCAATGCCAGCAGCAGTGCTGCAGTAGAATAAGGTCAAGGCTATCTGGTCCTGTAAAGATTTATCGCTGCAGAAACACTCTGTGGAATAGCTATGAGTTGGGATGGCCTGAATGGGTTGGGTTTGGAGATTATTGTCACGGTAAAGTTCCTGCCCACCCAGGGAGGAAGGACTATCTCTGTCACTTTCACAGCTCGCTGAAGATCGCCATGACTGCTCTCCCACCAGCTGCGGGGACTATTTTTTTAAGGTCTTTATCATGAATGAGAGGTGTCAATGGATCGTTTCACCACGTTTGTTCTAATTTCTTGACTTTCAGAAATCAAGGGCGGGGAAGTGATGCTTATCTTCTTGGAAGGCATGTTATTGAGAGCTGTTCAGCATGAAGAGCAGAGGGAGGGGAGACTCCATTACTCTCCCGAGGTCTGTAGGCTGCACCCAAGCAAAAGGCCTAAGCATGGAGAGGTGGCGGTGAACCATTGTAGAGCAGCAAGCAAGGGTCAAGTGACTGCTGTCAGCATTCGCTGTGAAAGTACTAAGGAAGAGCCTCTTCCACCAACCATCTTTCCCAGTGATATCCAGAGGATAGATCTCATGGGAGCTGACAGGCCTACTCTGTTAACTTGTTCAACAGTGTTTACTCGGTGCTTGACAGAACAGACACCGGAGGTAATAGGGAAACGAGGCTGAGAAGGATCTTACATGTTTAGAAGAAAGAGATAGCTATTAATCAAATAATAATGTAAATGGATGGATTCTTATAGCAGGGCATGAAAAGAGAGAGAGCCACCAGTGACATTCTCTGGCTCTACCAATAGGCGACTTAGAGCCAGCTCTTCTCTGGATTGATACAGAGCCCTGGTTTTGTTTTTACAGTGATGCCTGGCTAGTTATGACTGGGGCCTTTCTACTGCATGCCTCGCAGTCATAAGAAAATGAGAAACTGAGATTCTCCCAACTTGAACCACCCAGACTGTCTATGGGGACTGTCTTCTGATTCATGGGACAACAGGCAGCCGATGGCCCCTACAGCTTCTTCTTTGTTCTGTGACTGGTACATCTCCTAGGACAGGCATCCAGGCTAGTCTAATATTGTGCATCCGATTGCTATCCAAGATCGAAATGTGTTTTCAATACTAGCCCCAGTATTTTTGCCTTAATTAGTCAGCTAACATAAGAAGAAGAATAAAGAAAGTCAAACTGAAAGACAAGACCTTACATAATTTTATTAGTGTTGCCATCAACTCTTTCAGGGTTCACCTGTGTATATTGTTTTAGGTACTTGGACATGCACAACTGGTAGTCACAATGATGTGTACACCGATAACATGTCTTTTTATAATCTTGTAAGCACTTTCCTCCCTATTGCTACATAAATTTATACACAATTATATATACACACCATTAAGTAGATGTGCATGTAGAACTATTTCGCTTATGCTGGGGAACTTGGTTGTTAACAGATTTTTCACCATTTTAAGTAATTTTTATATTATCTTGTTTTTCTTTTTGCATGTATATTTTATTTTATAAATTTCATACTCTGTCTTATCAATCTAAGCACTATTTTATAGAGAATCATTTTACATGTGAGGAGGCTAACGTCTGTATAAACTTTTTCTTTTAGAAATTATATACTCAGTATTATTTCCTAGAAAACATGTTAGCGTAGTCACAAGTCACAAGCTCGTCCTCATTGTATGACCCAATTATTTTCTGAAATAGTTCATTTATAGTGCTGCCTTGAATATATATCAGTTCCATCACGGTCTGTCTTGTAATGAGCACAATCATTCTGGCTAAGGTAAATTCTGTAAACTAGTAGTTTAATGTTCCTATGGACTCCTTCATGGTGGTGTAATGGTTACAGTTTGGCCTGCGATCTGCATGGTCAGCAGTTCAAAACCACCAGCAGCTCCTCAGGAGAAAGAACTGAACTTTCTACTCCCATACACAAGTGCAGTCTCCGAATCCATCTTCAATGTTTGACTTGATGGCAGCGAGGTGTTTGTTTTGTAATCGTCCAAACAGCAACGTCTGAGAGTTCCACTCTTAAAACATTTAGGTAAAACTACAACCAAACGCTCTGCTCTTGAGTCAGGGCTAACTCCCAGCATCCCCTGTGGGTTTCCAGGACTGTTTCTTCCCAGACAGACCCCTGGTGTCATATGTTCTTAGCTACTGTCGGTCTGTTTCTAGACACTCTGTGCTGTTCACAGATTCAGAGCCCTGCACCTGCAATAAGCTCTTTCTTGTCTCTTCTCTGTTTTTTAACAGTTGAGTGGGGACATAATTCATAGTTCATCCAATTCAGTAGTTCAGTCACAACAAGAAGAGTGGTACAATCATCACCACAATCAACTTTAGAATGTTTTCTTCTTTCTAGAGCTCATTATGATTAGCTCCCCACTCTCTTTTCTCCATGCGCCCTTGGGGCATCCTGGAGTTGCGCCACAGGCCAGGTCAGAGCCAGTGCTGCTGACCAGCTGCTTGTGTCCCTGTCCTCTTGTTAATGTTTAATCCTGCCCCTGCTGGGAGACCGTTCTCATCTTTGTCCTTCTCATTCTTCTTCCCATTGCAGATGCTTTTTGATTGTTCGGAGAAGAATGAGCCGTGGCCTCCAGACCCAGTAAAGCGAATACTCCTCCCAGGAGCATATCACCCGCTGAGCGGAGCACCAGCTCCTGAAGATCCGGAGGGCCCGCAGTCCCAGAGAGAGTAGCCAGCAGCGGGTAAGGGGCACCCCCAGGCTGGGGCAGTGGAGGCGGCACAGGGGGTGCGTTCTTGTATGAAACATGGGAAGCGGGTGTGGACTTAGGGAAACATCACAGGGTTTCAGTGTATAACCGCTTTGCTGCTAGCTGCTCTCACGTCAGTTCCAACTCATAGCGACGTCATGAACAACATAAAAACAAAACAAAGCAATAAAACCACCACCACACAAACCGGCGCTCAGGCCTGTGCCATTCGAACAATTCTAGTTTTATTTGAGCCAATTGTTGCAGCCATTATGTCAGTCCTTCTCATTCGGGGTCTTCCTCTTTCGCGCTGCCCTTTCTAGCCTGGTTACAGCTTTATTCATCTCTCCAAATATTTAAAAATCTTCTTTACCCTCCGGATAAGTAAGGGGCAGGGGATGGGATAGGTCACGTATACAGCTCTCTAAACTAGCAATATAAGACTCGAAATTCACCTAAGCAGCTTTGAGCTCCTACCGCGTGCCAGGCAACATGTTTGGTACTGAGCATGCCTGGTTTGTAGATCAAGGTAGGACTCTTCGACTTTTGGTCTCTTGTTTCAGTGTTGACTTAGTCTCTGCAGATGATCCTGTGATCTGGTCTGGAGCTCTCGTGTTCGAAAACTCATAGAGGCCCTCAGGGTTTATCAGTAATAGTGTGTATTCAGTCATGTTTTGAGTGCCCACTTGGGTTCTGACACGTCGCTCCGTACTAAGATTTCAGAGAGGATCCCAACAGGGGTTCACATTTCGCGGTAGCAGGCACGAGAAACAAGCGCTACAAAACTCTCGGTTCCCGGAGGAGCAAGGAGCGTGCGGAAGGGCTGGTGAGCTTCAGCAAGGCAGTGCTCAGAGAGTGAGTAAACAAAGGCAACATGGCCGAGAACTCGGCAGGGCAAAGTCTCAGCTTGGGGATTGGAAAACTCAAAGGTTGGTCTCTTTTCCCAAAGGATGTATGAAGAGCAGGTTCCTACTCCTTCCCATCCGTTGGTTGGTGTAGGTGAAATTTCTTCTGCCTTTGGCATCAGAGCACCTTGAAAAATGACAGTGTTTTATGAAAGCCCTCCGGGCCTCTGGTGAGAAGCCCTGCCAGCTGTTGGACTAGCAGTCTCCGCAGTGGGTGATTGAGGGACCATGTGAGCCCTATTATAGGGTTAAATGTGAGTGCTCTGAGCCTATCCTGTGTGCAGGCCCCAGAAACGGAAGTTGTCTGGGGGGGGGTGTGGTGGTGTGTGCATAGGTTTGTCATCCAGCTTGGCAAATACGTGGAATTCTTCTTTCCTAGGAAACCCAACCTTGGAGAATAAACATTGGCAGGAAACTCGTGCTGGGTCTGCCAGTGCCAACTCCCTCCAAGTCTCAGCAACAGACTCCAGGCCTCCTCCCCCCACAAGTCTCATCTGTACACAGCAAAGTCAAGCCCCAACTCTACCATTCACCCAACTTTGAAAACGGCTTTGCCTTGACAGGGCATCTCTCTTGCAAATGGTGCTGCTAAAGCCTTCTCTGCTTATCTCCTAGGGCTGGGCTGGGTCTCATCGACTCCAATTCCTATGAAAGGGCCTTGGGAGTGGGAAGATAAGGCACACAAGTAATGTTTTCTGAAAGATGCAGACAGAAAGTTCTGAACACCCAGGCTAGGATTTGATCTCGGTATCAAGAGAGCGAGTCAATCTATTTTTTGCTTGGTGAAATCCATTTCCTAGAAATTTCAGAAGTAGCTGTAAGCAGGTGCAGTTTGATTCGATGTTTACTGCAGCCATTTACTCAGCTCTCTCATCCTGGGCCATTTTCATTTGCTCTCAGAGCCTCTGGGTGCGCCTCTCTGAAAACAGGATTTCCTATGCTTTCATGGCTGGTTCGGGTGAGGCGCTCCCCTGCTCGGGCCTTGAGCTGAGTAAGTGCCCTTACGATGAGACCTGGATTTGACTAGTGTCTCCTGGTATGAGGTGTCAAAATAACATGTGAAGGGCTTCCAAATGTTTGTGGAGAATTTTCCCAAGACCCTTTGTTTCCATTTCCCATGCCCGTATCTTGTTGTTCTATGCATAATTCATTTTTTATTTCCTTCATGGGTTAAACGGTTTTTGTCTTATCAAGATGTTCCATGCCTGCCATGAGCTGAGCCGGTTTCCTCTCACTCGACAGAACTCTTGCAGCTGGATGTTCTTAATCGAACTTCCTCTTCTCACACAAGATGTTAATATTGCAGCCCTTCGGAGCGCATCGTACACTGATGGCATCTGCGCTGAGAGGTCTCCTCCTGGCTGCTTTCAAGAGTGTTAGGGAGGTGGGGTTGCAGTGCGGTCGACCGATCAACCTGCTATTTATTCCTTTTCATTATATTTTTTTCCAAGAATGCATGTGTTTATTTAACACTCTGCCCTGATTGAAGAACTGAGCAATGTGTAAGTTGTGGTTCTTGGCCTTAAAACTCTGAGCGCTGTCAGGGAGCTAGACCGAGATGATGCAAAGTGCAAAGCTAAGAGTCAGAGGGTCCAGAGGGATGATGGGAGAATGCATGATGCATTTGTGGTATAGAGAGTAGGAAGGGGCCTGTTAGAAGGACTGCTCTCCAGATTCATAGTCTAAATTGAGTTTCATGGTGGTTTTTTTTATTTGGAGTGGGGGCGGGTGAGGTGGTGAGAGTTGTTTACAGTAGGTGATAGGAGTTAGTCTGGGGCTAGAATTCTGGTATTTCATCAACCAATAAATCCATCGGTTGGCCCATCACTTAACACTAGGCTGCCAGTCACCTCTTTTGGATTTTGTTAAAGATCACTCTTTTTTTTCAGGTCTGTTTTCCAGCTCAGAACAAAGTGGCATCCCTGGACCCATCTTTCATTATGATTCAGGTCATCCTGAGGAAAAAGCTCAGCTACTGCGTCCTGGCCTTTTTCCTCTTTGCGATCATCTGTGTGTGGAAGGAAAGGAAGAAAGTGGGTTACTATGAGTCCCTTAAACTGGAAACGGAAGGATTCCAGGTGGTGAGCAATCAGGAGAAACTGCTCGTGGGTTCTGGTCCCCAGTCATCAGTTGGCACCCAGGACCTCCACACGGGCAACCCAGCCCTCAGCAGTACAAAGAGCTCAGTCAAGACCAAGCCACCGCCCTCCTTCCAGGTGTGGAACAAGGAGAGCTCCTCCCGAAACCTCCCCTCCAGGCTGCAGAGTATCCGGAAAAATTATCTGAACATGAACAAGTACAAAGTGTCCTACAAGGGGCCGGGGCCAGGGGTCAAGTTGACTCCAGAGGCCCTGCGCTGCTACCTCCGGGACCGTGTGAATGTATCCATGGTAGAGGCCACGGATTTCCCCTTCAACACCTCCGAGTGGGAGGGTTACCTGCCTGGAGAGAACTTCAGGACCAAGGCTGGGCCCTGGGGCAGGTGCGCTGTCGTCTCCTCAGCAGGATCTCTGAAGTCCTCTCAACTCGGCCAGGAAATAGGTGGGTTCCAGGTGGTACGGCTGTTATCTTAACAGCTCCCTTGGAGTTGAGCAGGGCATAAGGGTGGTGAGTCGGCGTTCATCTGTTTTAAACATTGGCCCTCTACAGATTGCCTGTCTTGTTTTCATACCAGTAAGCCAAAAACTACAATTGACCTTTGGAAATAATGAATTGAAGTACTTGAAGTCAAACGATGTCTCCATCTTTGGGGGGAAAGTACCTGTGCGCATTTGTTGTACCACTTAATCTGCAGGTGTTCCTGACCTTCTATAATTTTACCTGATTGATGGAGGACTAAAACAAGACAGAAACCCACTGCTATTAAGTCCATTCTGATTCACAGCATCCCTCTAGGACGAAAGAGAACTGCCCCAAAGGGTTCCCAAGTTTGTAAATCTTACGGAAGCAGACTGTCGGGTCTTTATTCTGTGAAGCACCTAGTTGTTTGAACTGCTGTCCCCCGCCCCCAGGCTTCTAAGTGGGGGCAATTGCCTCTTTTTAGGAGATCTTGGGGTGGTGCACTGACAGTGTGACACTCGTTAGGCTGCTAACTGCAAAGTCAGCAGTTAAAAATCACCAGCCAGAGCGCTGCAGGACAAAGACGAGGTGTGTTAGTCTGGGTAGACTAGAGAAACAAAATCATACAGACACTCCCATGTGTATAAGAAAGAACTTTTTATACAAGAGCAATTGAATGTTGAGAAACCCTTTCAGCCCAATCCAGATCAAGTTCATAATTCCGATGTTAGCCTATATGTCCGATACCAATCTATAAAATCCTCTTCAGACTCACAAAACACATGCAATGATACCAAATGCAGGAAGACCATAGGCCAGTGGGTGGAAGGTCTTGTGGATCCAGTGGCAGTGGAAGCATTTCAGCACTGGCAGGGGTCTGCATGTGGCTCTGGCTCCAGAGCTCTAGTGTAGCTCTATGTGTCTTGTCAACAGAAATGTCTTGCAGGGAGTAAGCATGTGTCCCGCCTCCAGTGAGCTACTTATCTCCTTAGTGCCTCCAAATGAGGTCATCAAGCCATGACCCGATTGACAGGCTATAGGCCACCCCTTTACTCTTAAGACTCTCAAATTGACAGCAAATTATGTAACCACCACACGAGGCTTTCTATTCCTTTAAAGAGTTATAGTCTTGGAAACCCACAGGGGCAGTTCTACCCTGTCCTATAGGGTCACTATGAATTGCAATCAACAGGATGATAGTGAATTGCTTTTTTGTTTGTTTGTTTGTTTGGGGTGATGTAAGTGATTACTGTGCTCAACTCCTAACCAATAAGTTGGATGTTTGAATCCATCAAGTTGTGCTTCTGAAGAAAGGTCTGGCAATGGGACTCCAGGGGAAAATACCACTTAAAAGCCCATGAGGGTGGGGGACAGGTTGGAGCTCAGGGACCACAGTTCTACTCTGACATGCATGTGGTTGCCCTACAGTAGACTGCTCTCCATAGTAGCTGGTTGGTTGATTTTTTTTTGTGCTTCAACTCCCTGCCTAATTGTTTGCTTTTGTTTTTGAAAAGCGTCTGAGCAGGGATTCTTAACTCGGGAGTTGTGGAGATCAACTTCAGGGTGTTCCCAATTCATAAATTATCTGTGAAGCTGTTTGTGTCTGGGGTCTATTTGTAAGGCTGATACATGTAGTTGAGTTTGTGCGTTTTCCAGGAAGAGAGGCCGTAGGTTTCGGTTGGTTCTCAGAGGGGTCTGTGACTCAAGGGGGGTGAGAAATCACTGGCTGCAACCTCAAGGTTTGCTTCTCTTGCAGTCCTTTGCAATTAGGAAAGACAGCCAGCCTGCCCAGCTCTACGCGGATCGGGAACAGAGCTGGGTGTGCTTCCTGCTCCTGTTTGCCTGTTGTGAAAGATGGTGGGTTTTGTTCCTGGGAAATGAACCAGGCTCCCGAAGCCAAGTCCAGGCAGGCATGCTCTGTGTGGGGCTCTGAAAGGTCCTGGTGATGTCATGCGTCTGTCTGTCTCTCTCCCCCACTCGCTCTCATTTTCTTCATGTGACTGCCAAGAAAAATGGTCTGAGACCAAACAGGGATTCTCAGAACAGGAGGCATGGACCCAAGTCGGGTTCCCTAGAGCAGAGAGAAGTGGTGCAATGGCATTGCCTGCCTTTCCCACTAGTCAGCCTTGACTAATCCAATCCACCAGGATAGCACGTTCACCCCCTGGTTTGTGTTTTCCTCCCTGGCTTCCCTTGGGTTGAGTTTTCTAGGCACGAGTTGTGTTGGGTTCATTTTTATCCATAATAGTACTAAATCTCACTTTCTCTTCCCTATGTCTGCTCCATAAAGTTCATGTTGAGACGACCACATTTTCCAGCTGGCTCTGCTTTTGTAACAGTCGCTGATCATGTCTGTCCTGGTGGGAGAGTGTTGAAATTTGAGCATCTGAGGCCTTGGAGCGTTGGAACGGAGCACTGGGGGAGTGAGCAGTGGAGCAACGGCTTCGGTTGTTTTGTGTCAGGGATGCATTGTTTTTCTTGTCAAAGTAGACACAACACAACAAGATTCCGGGCAGCACAAAGGCTCTTGTTTCTACATTCAGTAGTTCGACCTCGATTCCATTTTTCAAGCGGTGCGGCCATTCTCATTACGCTCGTCCAAATTATCCCACCGCGATGCGCAGAAACACGGAGGCCCGAGTCAAAAGCTCTTGATTCCTCTGCTTCCCACTCCTTGTGACTGCTAGTGAGCGTTGACTTCTCAATTTTTGTTTATTTTATAGAAGTGAGATCATATAGTATTTTCCCCCCTTTTCTGATTGATGCATTTATTTTCCTCAGGCTGCAACTTTGTGCTTATTTACTCCATACAAGCTACTTAGAAACCCGAACCAAGCTTGATGCCAGCAAGTCAATGCTGACTCACAGCGACCCCCTGTGGGTTTCTGAGGCTCTGTTTCTGGGAGTCAGAAGCCCGGTCTTTCTCCCGAGGAGCTGCTGATTTCGAACTGCTGACCATGTGGGTTGCAGGCCAACTCATAACTACTACATCATTAGGGCTCTTAGATAACATTCATGGAAATAGTCTTTTTCCTAGACTTCCATTAGAATTTCAAAGATGTATTTCCATGCATGAACTTTTATCCTGAAATACCATGAGAACTTCATTGTGTTGACTTTTTCTTATTTATTTTGGCTGCCTTTTATATATATCCCAAACCCAACCCACTGTCCTCAATTCCAACTCTTGTGGCCCTATTTAATATCACCCCATCTTTCTTCTGCAGTCTGCTTGCTGGACTTTACTGCCAGCCTTGTGACTAGTCGTCCAATGCTTACCCCACAGCACCTGTGTTTCCCTCTTTTAAACAAATTATATAAAAAAACGAACAAACAAACCCAAAGACAAAACTCTTTCTTTCTTTTTTTTTTTTTTTGAGCATTCATGTTTTTATATTAAAAAACAAAATATTTGAGGTGTTTTTGAATCCAGGTTATGTCAAGGTCAGGAGGTGAAATTGTGCGGTTTTGAACTTAGCCCCTCGATGAATTCTTTTACCTCCTGGGAGAAATAAGAG